ATCTGAATGTTAATTAAACTTCAAACACTGAAAAAAGTATTAATACTTTATACTTATACTAACAAACATAAACACTGAGATTGAAAAGTGTTTATCAAAAGATTTACTTTAATGAGAAAAGCCTTTTTTTTTATCTCTCTGCAACTTGGTAATGATCCATGGACCAGTAGTGGCCCTCAACCCAGTGTTTGGGAACCCAAACTCCCAGCTGTTTGTACAAGCAAACAACACAGCTGATGTCAGATAATTAACTTTTTATTAACATTTTAGCACTTTTGTGAAGCTAAAACTTTTTTTTCCTCCCCTTTTATTAAATAAATTGGATATTTTTTAGGAGACGTTAACACCAAAAACAACAACTGAATGTTTAAAAGAAGAGTCATTTAATACGTTACAAAACTGCTTTAAATTTGATCTTCTTCTCTGCCTGTAAAACAAACAACGAGTCGCTCTCAAGTCCTTCGGATCGCCTTCGATAAGACTTTTCTGCACATTTTAAAAACCAAAATACGTTTTAAAATCTGAAACTAAAAGTTATTTATCATCTTCATCATCTCAATGGATGAAGTTGTTGTTTTCCTGAAATAATATAAATATATCTATAAATTTATATTTTTATTTAGGTATTTCCGTCCCATTGTGAGCTCAGGTTGGCAGGTTTAGTTAAATAAACAGCTCTTTGGAAGGTAAGCCTCCTGCAGGTCTGCAGTCACACCCACATCATGTTGCACACTGACTCATGTAGTCCTGCTGCTGTCATTGATCTGTTGTTCATTTGTGTGTCCTCTCACACACACACACACACACACACGCACACACAGCCACCAGGATCTGAGGAAAGCCAGTCATCTGTGCAGTTAAAGGATGTGGAGGAGGAAGCGGACCGACTTCCTGCACCGTGATAAACCAGTCGCCACCCAACTAACTGAAGAGCACAAAGTAAAGTTCAGCTGCTCTGCCTCGGAGCACGACCTCGCCTGAGTCGTATTCATCACGTCCTCCATCAGAGCCTGGAATAATAAAGACACAAAGTTAGAAGACATCGCTTCTTGAGCCACACCTGGAGTCTCTTTGTTAACTCTGATCACACAATCATTGTTAATGAGCAGGCTTCTCCTGCTGTCAACACTCAGTTTGAATGAAACTCATGCAGGTCTGACACGGAGGAACATTACAAACATTTATTGATTCATATATTTTCCCTCCTTTAATGTGAACATATTCAGCACTCACACTGTTGTTTTCTGCTCCTGGGTTTCTGAATGGATCTAAAACATCGAGACTGGGTAAAACAAGAAAGAGTTCTTTTAAGAACTCATTTTCTGAACGAATAAAGAGCAGTTAGAGCTCCAACGTGTTGATGAATCTCACCACAGACAGACAGTCGCTTTACTGAAAGACAGAAACACCAGGCGGTGATGGGGAAGAACTCCACTCATCAGGAAACCATCTGTCTCCACCTTTAGTGATCTTTGATACTGCTAACTTTCACAATCAGTAAAACTCAGGCTGATATCAATACGGATTAAATACTGGTACTTTGTCCAAATACACCTAGTACTCCTGGTAGATAAAAAAGTAGCATTTTACACATTTATGTAGCATCCTCATTCATAATATAGTCGAGCTAATACAAGAGAAAAACTAAACTGAGGACATAATTATACAAAATACGTGAAAAGTATTTTACAATAAAACAATCTAATAAATTTAAAAAACATTAAATTATTGTTTAATGATCAAAAACTACTATGACATACATAAACACATGAAAATATTGTGTATGGCAGGCCAATTTAACATAAAATCAACTTCATCACTTTCATTCCAGATAACTGTAATTACAATAGTTGCATTAAATTGTTTGGAGGCTCCAGTTCAAGACATCTTAAAAGTAATTGTGACTCGTCAAAAACAGTTCTAGTTATCTCTAGATTAGTTTTGCTGAGTCGTTGTTTGCTTTCAAGAGATCTCACTGTTAGTTCTGACTTGTCATTTCAGTTAAAGTTATCTTTAATTACAATAATAATCATAATTTCTTCATTTTTCAATATCAGATATAAAGATTTGACCAGTACAAACAACTGTTCTGCTCTACCCAGGCGGAAGAAAAAATAGTTCCTTACAACTGCACACGATTTAATGAAGATTTCTATAATGAGGCTACTTTCCACTGTGTTCCTGTTAAAGATATAAATTACCTGTAAAGACTGAAGTATCAAAGTTCTGATATTGGTGGTGTTTATATTTCAGTACCAATCTGCACATCACTCCTCCACCTGCCTGCCGGTCATCTCAGGTAGAAACAGCAGAAGTAGAGCCAAAGAAAACTGGTCATATTTGGTAAAACTGAATTAATTGTTGGAAAATGTGACAGCACCACCTGCAGCCACACAATGAATAAAAGTTGTGGTTATTTAAAACATTTTTTGGTATCTTATCGGCTTTTGTTTGTAAATACACATATTTCATCAATCTAAGTTAAATTATTTTCAATTTAAGTAGTTATGAATTCTAATTTCTCATTTTAACATCATTTGAAATTAGCATTAATTATTTGGAGTGCACACCTTTAGTTGAGTGTCTTTATCAGATTTTATAATGGTTTATTGTTCATCTGTCAGGATTGAAGTTTTGTTTCTTTGAGTTGCCAGGTCCTTTGGGGAGACAGACCAGCTGCAACACATCTGGAAGTCTCAGCTTCATCAGGCCACTCTGTGTTACATGATGTCGGAGGGGAAAGTTAAACCTTGTATTCTTATTTCTGATGTTTCCATTAAGTTTTTTTATTGTAAATATTTATTTTATTAGATTAAAGCTAAGTATTACTTTGATCAGTTTTTGTTATTTGCATTTGTAGTTTAGTATGTTTATTTTGCACCCCCCCCCCCCCCKCACACACACACACCCCTTTGTGTCAGAATGGTCTGATCAGCCACTTTATAATTCCTCCTCATGTCTTAGTCAGGAGGTCAGTTTTGCTTTACTTCCTAAGTTGGTACCTTAGTTGATTATGTTGACCCCGTTTATGGGCCCAGAGCTGTAGTTTTTTTTTTTTTTAGTTTTTATAATTAAATGTGAACCATTTTTTCATTAATCCTCAGTGTATCTCCCTTGCTGGCCTATGTGAACCCTCACAGAAATCTTGTGGCAAACCTGACAGTTTCACTGCTGGATGACAGTGACTCCAGGGGTTATTGTGCGTTAAAATGTGTTCTGATCCCAGATTTGTGTTTCCTGCTGTGGATTCAGAAAACAGAATTTAATCCTGACAGATCTGTCTGAGCAGTTACCCACTCGAGTCCTTCCTGAGCTCCTACCTGCTCAAAGCTCCTGTCTACCTGGAGGTTCCCACAACACGATCCCTTGACCGTCTCCTCATGCTTCTGGCTGGCAAAAAAATAAAATAATTAAACGATTATTTATGGCATTTAGCTGATAACAATTAATATATGACAATTACACTTGCATTGTTTGATCCTTAAAACTCAACAGTCAAACTAACTTCTTCCCTTTAGCAGATTTAAGTAATAAACTGATTAAAATCCTTGTCCACAGTACAGAGGCAGCAGATCTCCAGCTGCCACAGGCTCATGATAGTGAGAACGAATCAAACATAAAATACCTCATAGTTGCAAAGTGGCAAATAATAATAATAATTGACAATTTTTAAGACGATTAATTGAGCACGATACAGTTTTATTTACCTTGTACTTAACTATAAATCCCACCTTGGATTTCCTCTGCAGAACCTTTCGGTGGTCCAGAGTGAACAAAGCAGTGCAGGGTCAGCTTTGAGCAACAAACATCCTCCTTCAGGTCTCTTCCAGACCAACTCCTGGTCTCACGTCTCAGACTCCCTGCTGCTTTCAAATCCATGACATCACATGAGAAATTCTTTCAAATCCCAAGTCTGGAAGTCATGAAACAGTCTGTCCTCCAGCTTTATTTGCATTTATATATATGTAGTAATTTACAGTAAGTATGAATGTGTGTTTGCTCTGGAGCTGCGCAGGATTTTCCAGTAACTGGACACTCGGTGGGTGAATTAGAGAACAAACAAAACGACAACAGATTGATTTTGAGACAAAGCCAGTTCTTTCTGTTCTCTCTTTCACCCATATCTGTGTGAACTGGACTCAGTGACCAGGTGAGGGCGGGGGGCCAGGACAAGGGTCAAAGTGTGTGTGTAGGAGGGTGGGGGGGTCTGTGGAGGTTTGGATGCTGAAATCAGGATCTGATTACGTTTTTTTTTAAGTAGAACAAACTGAGATGTTGAGATATTTCTGTAAAGTTTTATTTTTCTGTAAATATTTATTTTTGGATTTAAGTTGAAGTTTTGCTTTAATGAGATTATAACTAAATGTAACAACTCGGATTAATTTACTTTCAACAGAAAATTTTTATTCTGACCATTAGGTTTCTGTGTTTCCTCTTTGCTGTTCACTTTATTTCAAAACATTTCCTCTTGTCAGAGCGTGGAGCACGTTAAATGTTCACTTTGAAAAACGTTCAGGAAACAGAAGGTTTGAAAATCATACAAACAATAAAATTGAGAATGCACCAGATTCAGGACAGATTTAAAATATTTGCACTTTTAGTGCGAACAAATAGATTCTAACAGAAGATGAGTGGTTTTCAGTTAAATGTTCATGTTTGATGTTTTTTTATTTATATGGCAAATGATCAAAGGTTTATCCATCTTTTCTGCAGAAGAATAATGTTTTACATACTAAAAATTGAAAGTTATTGTTTTAAATATGTTGCATTTTACACACCCAACAAATATTTACATATTTAACCCATTCAGTAAGGCGTTTTATTTTAATTCAGGATTTGTTGAAAGCTGAAAATTTGTGTTTACTTCTGACAAAACATTAAAAAATATATTGGATGTTTTATTGTAAATCTTAGATAAACTGAAGTATATTTGATTCCTTGTATTTTCAGGCAGGAAGTTTAACATTTTTATTAATTATGAAGTAAGATAAACAACAAAATGCAGCTCCATCTGCTGGGAAATTTCAGGATATTAATAAAAACAAAAATAATTTAAACATTCAGGAATCTTTAATTGTCTTTAGTAAAGATGTGGCCTTGGGTTTAAGTGGCCTCAGCTAGTTGGTGTGTGTGTGTGGAGGTGGGGGGG